GGGTAACCAAATGCAGAAGGAAGAGCTGTCTCTTTTCTTAGCACTCGTTAGAAGTGGAGAGTAACCATTGGCAAATTACCTGAACTCTTTAACCTCTGTTCTTCCATCTATGTAAAAAGGCTAACCTGAAAGTTACCCTGTGGAGCCCTTGCAAGAATTTAATGAGATAATGCTTACTTATGTGTTCTCTGTATGGTATGTGGTGCTGAACAAGGCCTCAATAAATGCGTGTCTGTTTAAAAAGTTTAGGTAATATATATGAAAGCTTTCTACAAGCCCTAAGTGCTATATAAATGTGGCTATTTCTTAAACAAAAAGAGAAAATAGGCTTAGTCATGTAATGTGAAAATGCAGACACCTAGGAAGATCTCTTTCTAGCTGAAATATTGATGCCACTGTTTCTCTTTAAGACCTTTTCTATTTGGTCGTGCTTCATGTAATAGTATCTAAAAGCCACTTAGTATTTTCTGTGCAAACGTGCCATTGCAGAACTGAATTATAAAAGTTGCACCTTTGAAAACAATATGAAACATTTAAGCACCAATGACCCAGTAGCCTCATCTAGCTTTGTGACTCATTATCATCCAACATCAATGTTTCCATTGTCACTCTGCTGTTTCAGATAACAATGTGGTCTGGATAGTTGCCTGCTGGCCATTTAAGAGATTAGGGATTTTTTTTTTTCCTCCTTAGTCTACCACTGTGTTCATTCCCAACTATATAGTTACCATTTGTAAATCAGTGAAGCAAGAAATTAAGGACACACTAGCAACCCTGCCTGTGGAATACCAATAACAACAAAGGTGTAGAGTTGCTTTGCTGCCTTGCTGCTGCCTACCATACACCCAGCTAAACCATCACTCCTCCAAATGAGCACCATTATCTCAGTCTCTAGGAGGAATAAATGAGACACAGTGATAACCAGACTTGGGTACAATGAAATACATTTTCTGGATTTTATCGTAACTCTGATTCTTTTAATAGTTTTATAGAAAACTAGAACTGTTCATTTTCTAATGCTTTGTTTTCATTTTTGATTCTTAGGTTAATTTAGTTTTCAACTTCTCTGCTATCTGGGGTGGTTCCCTAGTTGTGCTTTGAAATGCAAATTGTTCTGCAGAAATGACACCTGATAATTAGGAAACAAAAGAAGGGGGTAAGAAAGTTGTTGAAATACAACTGAGCGAGCTGAGGTGTTGTTTTTGTTTTTTTTTTCTTTGTATGGAAGGATCAAAATCTATCTTCCTGGTTAGTTACACTATCCCTGTAGATGCTTTGGTGAACTGTCCCATTAGTAAGAAGCCACCAACATGTCTGTATCCTGCCAGTATATTGTATACAACATATATTCTTCCCTTTCAAAAATCCAGGGCAATCAAAAGAAACAGATTCACATGTAACAACATTTGGGGAATGACACAAAATCCTCAAAGTTCAAATCATTTTCTGGATCATTGGACCCAGGTTTCCAAGTGCTGGGAGCAGCAAAATATTAGTCCATTTACATGTAAGATTTTTTTGTGTTGGGAAATTACCCTAACAGACATTATGATGTAATAGGATGCTACAATAATGAAAACTGGATGGCTATGACAAAGGAATCAGCAGACAGAATGAACAGCTCTGAAATTTATTTGAAAATAGAACATAAACAGGGAAGGGTTATATTTATTTCATAAATTACATGGGAAATTAGCTAATTACTTGAAAGAATAAACAAGAGTTTCAGCTTATAACATGCCCTAATTAAATTCCAGATGAGGAACTAAACATAATAAAGCAAGCTGGTAGAGAACTAGAAGAAAATGTGAAATAAATAATTAGTTTGATGGGGTAAGGACTTTCTAATATAAACATAATGGAAGACACTATAAATGTTTAAATGATGACAGGTTTACATAAACCAATCTCAACTAAAAGAAACTAGGACTCTTTGGAGAAATGGCAGATTCCAGGGCTGGGGTGGGAAAGTACAAGATGGGTCTAGAACATCTTATTGTGCCAGAAAATACAAAAGAGCTTAAAAAATAGGAAGATATGTCCAAAGGATGTAGGAACTGCCACTGGCCAAGTCTGGGATCATTTGAATATAAAAATAAATGATAATAATAGATTATACCCCATTGAATAAAATAGATATCCATGAGTCATATTGATATAAATTAATAATGAATAATTGAAATTTTGAGGCAAAGTAGGATAATGTAGTGATATAGGAGTTAAAAAGAAATTATTTAGGCAGATAGTGAGGGTAACAGAGTCCTCAGTAAGATTTTCCATTTAATAAAAAGCAGCTCCCAAATAATTTATTTTCTAACAAAAAGCAGCCTGTAAAGTTGAGCTGCAAACATAGATAAGCAAGCTGGAGGCTTGCACAGGTGAATGTCAGCAGCTGTGCCAATAAGGAAAGGCTACCTGGGGACCAGGCATGTGCAACATGGAGGCTCCATCTTCCTTTTCTTTTGTCAACCACGTGTAGAGTAAGGAACAGACAACATGGCACTGGCCAGGTAGAGAACCCAACTGCATAACAAAAGATTAGGGTGGGTGGCCAGCTTCATGTGCTATGTAAATGACACATCTGGTCTAACCAATCTTTGGGTTCTATGTAAATCAGACACCGCCTCCTCAAGCTAGTCTATAAAACCCTGTCCACTTCCCTGCTGACCGAAAGTAGCACTTGAAAGACCCCCCTCTCTCTGCAGGAGAGAAAGCTATTCTCTTTTTCTTTCAGCTATTAAACTTCCACTCTTTTTTTTTTTTTTTTTTTTTTTGATACTGAGTCTTGCTCTGTCTCCCAGGCTGGAGTGCAGTGGCTCCACTCTTAAACTCACTTCTTGTGTGTTTGAGTCCTTGATTTCCCGGGCCTGAAATGATGAACCTCGCGTATGTACCCCCGATAAGGATGAATGATGCTGCTTCAGTAAGATAACACAACTTCAAAATCCTTCCCTTCAAAATACTATTACTGAACCGAAGGTAGGTCTGCCCACCCAATGAAGCAAAGACAAACACCGACATCAGGATTTGCAGCAAGAGAAAAGTGAGGCATTAATTGCTGAGCGCTCACGCTTAAGACCTGAATTCCCCAGTGAATTATATGTGAAGGTTTTTAAAGGCAGAGAGGCAGAGGTTCCAGGCAAAGTCATAAATCTATACATGGAGGCTATATATTGAGCTGACTTTAAAAAAAAAAAAAAAACAGACATTTTGAAGTGGGGGCCTACAGGTCATAGGTGGCTTCAAAATTTTTCTGATTTGTAATTGGTTCAGGACACAAAAATTTGTCTAAAAATTCGAGGTCAGTAGAAAAGAATGCTAGCTATGGCCCATGGGTGTTACCTCCAGTCCCCTCAGGAAGAAACTTAGAAGAAAGAATGGTGGTCAGAGTTCAGTCCTTGGTTCCCTCTTAGCTGGGGTCTGTGTGCAGGTGGATAGCATTTTCCATTTCGTGGGAGTTGGGGTTTAACATAACTCAGGGACATATGTTAAGCTGTTATCTTTAGTTTCTATAGGGAACCAAACATCTTGTGACTCTAACTTCCTGGGCAGTTGTTTTAAGCTACTTTTACCTTCTTGCTTATCAAGTTGCTCATTTATTTCCCCAGGCTAGCTAGGTGCCTGGAATTGCCTTTGTAATAACCAAAGATTTCCCTTTCTTTCCATGCTTGTGAGGGATGAGGCGTTAGGCTGGCAGGCCCCTAACAGGGATCCCTGCTCCATCTCAATACTTAAAGCCAAAAGGGAAAAAATAAACTTTATGGTGAAGGATCCTAATGGATACCACCTTAGTCAAATGTTTAATGTGCCCGTCACTAGTAATAGGACAAATCTAGGTAGTGTTCTGCCTGGTAAGAAGTGATAAGAAGAATAGAGCCTCCCCTCTGTGATATTCCTGACAAAAGTGCATAACCTGAATTTAATCATGAGGAAACCTCAAAGAAACTCATGAGGGACATCACAAGAAATAATTGGTGTGTAATCTTCAGAAGTACCAAGGCCGTGAAAATCAATGAAACACTGAGGAACTGTACTAGATTTATGGAAACCAAGGAGACAATGCAATAATATGCAATGTAATTCTCAATTAATCCTTTTACATAATAGATATTGTTGGGACTATTGGTGAAACTGGAATGGGGTCTGAAGATTAAATGGTGATGATGTACCAATGTTAACTCCCACCAATTGGATTGGTGGTATTGTAACAAAGGAGAATATCTTTGTTTATAGGAAATGCACTAAAACATTCAGGGGTGGTGAGGCCTCCTGTTAGCAGCTTAGTCTCAAATGTTTCATGAATAAAAACATTCCTGCAACTCTTTTTTAGTTTGAGATTGTTTCAAAATAATAACAACATTAACCAAAGAACAAGTGTATCTATTCCAAATTTTCTTTTGCCTTTTGCTAGTTAGGTACATCTAAATATTATGTTCATATTTTTGGTATATCTGTTACCACAGTTTAATCTTTCCTTGCACAAATTTAAATGGCAAACAATAGGGAAATTATGATGCCATAGCTATATGCTGGAAGATCATAAATATTTTTAAGTGTTTTGTTTTGACAAATTGGTAACAACATGGGAAGATTCTCATGGCGTTCTATTGTTTTAAAATGAGAGTAAAGTAAACTTGTATTTACAAAATTAATGTGATTCTGAAAATATGTTTACAATCTGAAAGGAAATATACACTTCAACCAAGGTTATATCTGGGTAGTGTGACTATGGATGATTTATTTTCATTTTTATTTTGGCATAATTTCCTATAATGGCCAATCATTTGTAAACAAAAACTTGAAATTGTAATAGTAATTAATATAAAGTGATGTGAAAAGGAATGAGAAAAAACTGTTGATTAAAGAATGAAGGAGTACAGGGAACTTCACCTGAAAATATGCTATTTGATATAATGAGTGTTTTGAATTAAAGATCAGACAGACCCACCAAGAACAATGGAGAACAATCCATCTCGTCATCCACACCTTCAAATCCTCTCCCTATCCCGAAGCACAGATGAAGCTGTCTTATCTAGGCCTATAGTCTAGACCTAACAAAGAAGAAAACAATTACCTCTGGTCCTTTCTCTTAGGTTTTCGTTAGCTGAAACCATATCACAGGAAGGAAGATTAAAATCTGACAAGAAACCTGGACAAATTTTTGTCACAACTTTTTTCCACTCTGAGGGCCCAACGGACTTCGTCCCAAACCATTGTATGTTCTTCAAGCTCACTGAATTCCCCTAAAAATTATTTACTATCTCCCTAAAATGATCCACACTTTCCTGTCTCCTTTTTCCCTAAGAAGTAGGATACATAAGAAGCTGTATCCCATTGGGATATTAGGCAATCACTCTGTGATTCTCCTGTATACTCATGGTAGTAATAAATCTGCATGCCTTTTTCTCTTATTAATTTTTTGTTAGTTGATTTTTTAGCAAACCTTCTAAGAGCAAAGGGGACACTTTTCCTTTACCCCTGCAGGAGGACGTCTCCAAGGAAATGAAACACTGCTGGATATATTATAGAAATCATCGTGGTAAAGAAGGTATTAAAGTAAGACTGGAAATCAACTGTTTTGCCCAAGGGACAGACCCTCAGCTGTGACTCTGCACCTGATCTCTGTGGCTTTGCTGAAATGTAGCTTTAACCCTTGACTACCCTAATGGTGAGCACCAGCGTGATGGAGAGGTGAGAACAGACTCTGACTGTTAGTCTCAATTTCTTCCTCTGCAGTTTGGTGTGAAGCAGATGGTATATGGAGCCCCCAACATAGTAGCTGGCATCTGGTGCTTCCTGACCCATGCTCTGCCTGGGCCACACCTCTGCTAGTGCAGGGAAATCTGGGCAGCCTGAGGTGCACAGACCAGCTGGTCCCCATTACCTGTACTTTTCCCACTAAAGTCTTCCTTCCTTTTCCCCTTCCTCAGTCACCCACAAGGGAACCATTTCCTTATCCTCTATCTGTACTTTACCCACAAGAGACTCCCTTCCTTACCCACCCCCTTCCTTACCCACCCTCTTCCTTACTCAATCCGGTTCAGGGCAGATTTCAGGGCTCAGAGCGCAATAAAGAAGGGTCAGTAATCCATAAATCAAAATATTCAGTTCCCTGGCAGACATAGAATCATTCATAGTCTTGAATCAAAAGAATCTGTTCAAGATTAGAAAAAAAAATTTATCTAATTGTGTTTTTCATTAATAGAAACTGCATATAGAAATTCTTTAGAACAACATCATACACCATGGAGTTGACAATTCACTGTGCTCTATTCTAGGCTCAGCTTCTGCATATTTGAAATCAGCTAGGAGGCTTCTGTTGATACAAAACACAGTATTTGTAGACTGATCTAGTCCTGCGACAAGTGGTAAAGAAGTATGAACTGCAACTGCCATATGGCAACGTGAAGTATTTCCAGAGAAATACTTGAAAGTGTCATAAAAACAGTAAAAACATTTAACATTTCAAAAGGCTTAACTTCAGTTTGTAGATAAACTATGTCAACAGGCTGCTTTTGTTCAAATCTCAGCAGACAGATGATACCCAGGCAGATAAGATATGACTTTGTGCAAGTGACTTAAACTCTGGAGGCTTTGGTTTCCTTATAGAAAACAGGGAATAGGCCCTTGGGATTATAGTGAAAATTAAAAGAAATAATGTATATACAGCAACTAGCACAATCTCTGATCTCTATGGAAAATACTTGATAAGATTATCATCATTATTTTTATATTATGAATACATTTGTTGTGTTACATATAATTGATGTCTACCTGCTGTGAAAGTATGTATAGGTATACAGATGTAGATGGTGAAAGAAAAGAGGAAGAGAAAGAATCAGAAAAATATATACTTGATTCACCTTCCCAACCCTGCTATTCAAACCTTTTATTCTATGCTGTTTTCCCTGTCTCCATAGTCGGAATACCATACACCCAGTCGCTCAAGCCAAATATTTTAGAGTCAACGTTAATATCTCCCTTTCCCTTACTGGCTGGCCACCCTATCTAATTTCAGTTATTATAATCCCATCATCATCTCTCCCTGGACTTTTGTATTTTTATTTAGCTTCCTCTTCCTAAATCTTCTCCCTTCTTTCATTTAGAGTCCCCTCTAACTACAAAACCAGTCTTAAAATAGAAATTAGATCACATCTCTCTTCCCAATTGGAAACCCTTCAATGACTTTTCACTGTGCTTCAAGTAAGATGCAAACACCTTTCCAGGGCCTCAAAACTGCTGCAGGATCGAATTCCCAACACTCTCTGATGCCACCACCCACATCCTCCCTGACTACATTTCAGTCTGTTGAACAAGCCAAGCTCCTTTCCACCTCACAGCCTGTGTACAAATCGTTCTCTCTGACTGGAACACTCTTCCATTTTTGCATAAATGTCTGATTCCTGTTTGACCTTCAAGCCAGAACTTCAAAGTCAGCTGCTCAGAGAGGTCTTCCCAGGACACCAACTGACGCAGACGACCTCCTCATCTCAGTTATTCTCTAGATCCACACTGTGTCTTAACAGCACATAAAATAACTTGTATTTTAATAGTTTTTCACTTTTTAGTGTGTCTGTCTCTGTCAAAGCCTGTAAATAACTTAAAGGCTGGGACCATATTTTTCTTTTCCATTTTTTCACTTGCAGTGCTCAAGATGATGCACTGTGCTGGGCATAGAGAAGATGTTCAGTAAATATTTGATGTAAAAATTTGGGGAATTTAAAAAAATCTTGTAAATTTCCATCATTAAAATGTCCTAGATGTATAATAATTTATTTTCATTCATTAGTGAAAGATCAGAGAGGAAATAAGACAACATATTTTAATATGTTTATATGTAAGCTTAAAAGGTTAAAAGTATTTGATCCTTTATGGATCAATTGTTCAAGAATTATCTGTTGTCTAGGAAGAGGTTATGTGAAAGAGACAAATGTAAATTCAGGAATTTTGCTCATTGCAGTTAATTGACACTTTCAGGACCAATGGATCATATGAGTCACTTTTTAAAACCCTTTCTTCTATTTTAAAGGATACAGTGTTTTGAAACCAACATTATAACAGCATATTTTATAGGACTTGTTCCTTATTGATCACAGGGAAAGATTAATTTCAAGTGGGTAATTGTCATTTGAGGGTCTGACTTCTCGTGGGTCCCAGCTGCTTTTTTCTGGATAATTTAGTCAATATTAGAAGTTGACTACAGCGAATGCCATGCGGTGTCTCTCAGATCTCTGGAATTGAGGTCCTCACCCCCCAGCAGTTAGTGTTCTCCCAAAGAGAGCTAAGGTCATGTCCCATCTCAGGGGATGGTCCTTATTCAAGAGCTACCCTGGGCAAGTTGAGGGTGGGAGAAATCCAGCCTCTTGCATGAGGTGACGGCACAAATCTGAGGGGCCATTCCAGCTCCAGAGATCTGTTGGACAATTAAAGCCTATGTTGCATATACATTCACTGCATTGAGTTCAGCTCCTTTCTCTGTCCAATCCTACTTTCTTTACTTCCCTGCAGATGTTGATCCCCAAATCACTCCCCAGCAACATTCCTGCAGCCAGATCTCCATCTCAAGGTGGAAAAGATGTTTCTAATAATGGTCTGGCTGTATCTCCACCCAAATCTCTTGAATTGTAGTTCCCACAATCCCCACATATTATGGGAGGGACCCAGTGGGAGATAATTGAATCATGGGGACAGTTTTCCTCATACTGTGCTCATGGTATGAAGAAGTCTCAGAAGATCTGATGGTTTTACAAAGAGTTTCCCCTTTCACTTGGCTCTCATTTCTCTCTTGCTTGTCACCATGTTAAGATGTCCCTTGCTCTTCTACCATGATTGTGTAGCCTCCCCAGCCATGTGGAACTGTGAGCCCATTAAACTTCTTTTTCTTTATAAACTATACAGTCTCAGGTACGTCTTTATCAGCAGCGTGAAAATGGACTAATACTGTCTCCTTTTTAAGACACTGATCAAGGTGATTTGATGGCACTTTTTTCTACCATTCCCCTTTCCCTTGACATGAAAGGAGTCCTTTGGGGAAAGGGTGAATAAATGGAGTCTGCTGTTCAGCTCTCTTTTAACCATAGGTGGTATTTAATGACAATTTTGAAATGATAATGGCACAGTCTCCTGCTGACTCATCTTGAAACCAAAACTATCATTCATCTCCATTCTACATTCCAGGAGTCTTCCCAGTACATAGAAAAATGTAAGATGGACCACTTCACCACTAATTAATTAGTAAGAGACTAATCATATATACAGACTTTGATACAATTACAGTCGCTCTCCCAACTATGGTTTTGCACTCCAGAGTTTCAGTTATCCATGGTCAACTTCAGTGCAAGAATATTACATATAGTAAGATATGTTGAGAGCACTCGAGAGAGCTCACATTCATGTGATTTTCATTATAGTATGTTGTTATAATTGTTCTATTTTATTACTAGTTATTGTTTTCTTTTACTGTGCCTAATTTATACATTAAACTTTATCATAGGTATGCATATATAGGAAAAATCACAGTATATACAGGGGTCAGTACTATCTGTGGTTTCAGGCATTCACTGGGGGTCTTGGAATGTATCTTCTGTGAATAAGGTGAGACAACCGTATATTAAAAATGTGTTATGAGCTGAATTGAGCCCCATCCCAAAAAATCATATGTTGACATCCTAACTTCAGAATGGGACTGTATTTGGAAATAGGATCTTTAAAAAGGTAGAGTTAAAAGGAGGTCATAGGGATGGGCTCTAATCCAATACAAATTGTGTGCTTATAAAAAGAGGAGATTGGGACACAGCCACACACAGAGGGAAGACCATGTGAAGACAGGTAGGGAAAATACAGCCATCTACAAGCCAAGGAGAGAGGCCTTAGAAGAAACCAACTCTGCCAAACACCTTGATCTCAGGCTTCAAGCCTCCAGCACTGTGAGGAAATAAAATTCTGTTGTTTGATCCATGAAGTCTGTGGTACTTTGTTATAGCAGCCCTGGAAGTAACGGAACATGGAATCATAAGACTTGTGGATTTTGTTTCATGTCCTTTAAATGCCCTAAGCCTGAGCACACCTAAAAGGCCAGGCAGAAGCACCTATAGAGGGGCTCCAGAAAGTCTGTAGGCTGTGTGACATTTTTGTCCCTTGCTCTGGTTTATCTGACCCATCCTTGTTTCCATATATTTCTACTTGGTGAGGGTACTGTGATTGATCATTTGGTTTTAGAGTGCTTCCTCCAGCCACACCTTGTATTCCTCTACACACCTTCCTCTGATTTCATGCTGTTCCTGTTGTACCCTGTACCCCAAGCCCCAGGAAGCAATCCTGGCCAGGTTTCTACTAATCTAGCTCTCCTTGAAAGAGGAGACAGGCTGGAAATTTCAAAAGCTGCACATAGCTTAGAGGGCCAGAGTTACTAACTGGGGAGTCATCATATTGATTTTATTCTGATCCCCTACCTAAAAATTTAGCAAACAGATCTTATTGGACAGCTTGTGCATTCTAGATTTAAGGCATAATGTATCAATAAAATTTAATTAATGGAAAGAAAAAATTAATAAATATATAGATTTGAAAGGTTTGACATGATAATGGTAAAGTCTCCCACTGACCCCTGACCCCTCATGAAACTGAAACAACCATCTGCTTCCTTTCTCTATTCCTTAGTGTCTTTCAATTTTTCACAAATGCACATGTCTAGTCCCTTCCTGACCCATATATATATGGAATACATATATATGTGTAATATATATATATTTATATATATATTCCACAAAAGAACATTGTTGTAAGTGACAATTCCCATTGTCCCCCAGGAATTCAGGAATCCTATATGTGACACTTTGGGATCTCTATCCAGTCTTCTCCAGGCACTCTGCTGACCAAATCGTCTCTGATAAGTGTCTCAAGGCACCATCACACTTCTGCCATCTTAAACCTGCACCACCACAGACACTCAGGAGCCCTCAAAGCGCCTGAACCGTATAGTGCTCCATGGCAGAACAGGTACCTCAGTCTCGTGCAAATACAGTTAAAGAGCATCAGATCTGCGCTGCCTGCATGGAAATGCTCAGCTTCTGGTATAACAGCTGTTTAATTGCTTCAGGTATAGCCCCCCTCCTGTCCTTGGACTCAGTCAAGGTGCAGGGACATATTTGAGTGACGGGTTCTGTTCTGTGCTCTGTAGTGATGACTAAGGCTTTGTTTCTGGGTCAAGTTTGTCACGACTCCTTTTTCTCTTAGGGGAAACTCTCTCCTAGCATATTCCTCAGTGCCTCATGCAAAGAGGATTCTGGTAAGCTGTCCTGCTGGCTTTCCAAATATGCCCAGGAGAGCTGATTAGTTGCTTCTAGGACAAGCCAGGGACTTCCTGCCTCCAGCACCTCTCTCCACAGCCTCCCTCTCAATATGTTTATGGAGAGGGAGTTATAGACAAAAATTAGAGAAGACACCATTGCTTCTTGTGGGGGAAGCTGAAATGCTGGCTGTATTTTCTCTGGATATTCTACTATGCTCTTGTCCCTATTGTCTGGTCTGAATTAAGACGTCCAACTTTTGCCTTGTTATTATCAGAGATGGTTCTATTGCCCTTACTTGTGTAAGCCAAAATGAATCTGAGACAGGTCTAAATCAATTTAGAGGTCTATTTTGCCAAGGTTAAGGACCATGGCCCATGGCACAGCCTCAGGAGGTTCTGAGAGCATGTGTCTGAGGTGGCTGAGTTACAGCATGGTTTTATACATTTTAGGGAGACAGGAGTTATAGGCAAAGACATCCATCAATACATTGAAGGTATATATTGGTTCAGCCCGGAAGGGCAGGACATCTTGAAGGGAGGTAGGGGGTGTCTTTCACATTATAGGTAGATTCAAAGATTTCCTGATTGGCAATTGGTTGAAACAGTTAAGGTCTGCCTGAAGAGTTGAATTTGGCACAAAAAAAAAAAAAGGCTTGAGTAATTTAGATAAGGGGGACTGTGGAAGCCTCTAGGTAGCAGGCTTAAGGGAAAATAGGAAATATCTCTTATCAGACTCTAAAAAATGTCAGACTTCCCAGAAAAGACCTAGTAAGGGAAGGATGTTCTCTACAGAACAGAAATTTCCCCCGTAAGAGATGGTTTTGCAGGGCCATTTCAAAATATGTCAAAAAAAAACACATTTTGAGGTAAATGTTTTACCTGCTATCTGTCATGTGATGCTATACCAGAGTCAAATTGGAATTTGGTATCCTATTGTTACAGAGAGTCTGTTTTGTCAGTCTTAAGGTCTCTGTTTTAATTCTAAAATGAACAAGAAAAAAATTCTCACTAATTCAAACTGTCTACATTCTATCTCTGTGGTTATTATTCTTCTAAGCTCATCTCCATAAGTTTATTTATTTATTTATGAGATGGAGTCTCACTCTGTCATGGAGGCTGGAGTGCAGTGGTGCAATCACAGCTCACTGCTATCTTCAACTCTGGGCTCAAGGGATTTTTCTTCCTCAGCCTCTTGAGTGGGACTATGACAAACCACAATGCCCAGCCGCCTTCCTCACTTTTCAATTCTGCTTTTTTCATTTTCAATTCTCGTTATTTTTTCAAATAGAGTCTCGCTCTGTCATCCAGGTTGGAGTGCAATAGCACCGTCTCGGCTCACTGCAATCTCCACCTTCCAGGTTCAAGT